AAAAATGTAAACAACTAACAGTGGTATAACATCCATATAATAACATCAGGCACAACAAAGATTCTCCTTGGCCACGTATGTAACACCATGTATGTGGTAGGAAAACAGAAGTCAGAATAAGAAAAGGTGTTTTTGTGGAAGCACACAGCAGCTCCATTCGCTACAGAGCTGTTCTTTAATATGTCTACATTACTGAAAAAGACCGTAGCGTAAGGTCTGAACCTCAGCCACCCAAGCTCCCACTGCCTTCGCACTGTTGTAACGGGATGGTTGCTAATAGAAAGACTTACAGTGTAGTTGGTCTATTGATTTTTTTCCGCTGAAGCTCCTACACGCATCCCCAGACAATTACTGCTGGAGACAGCTATTTGATTAGATGGATCTCTAGCCTGAGTCACTCCAGCTGTTCTCATGGTCTTGAGTCCCATTTTAGCACAATACAAACAAATACAAATACAAACACTCTTGCAATGGCAACATAGGAGGAATAGATGAGCAACAATTAAATAAGCGTAATACTGTATCCATATTTTTAATTATTTTTGTTTATAAAGGCACGTAAGTAAAACAAATAATAATTTATGGAGCATCCTTTGTGTTTCTCAGAGCTTAAAAAAACGGGATATAGCCAAAGCAAGTTTACGCCTGAAATACATCACACGTGTAGTGCTGCTGGCTCTTTGAGATAAGGGGGAATTGGTCTGGTTCGGTGGATTCTGAGGAGATCGTGGACACGGGTGTTTCTGTTGGAAAACCTTGTGCCTACTCCAACGTAAATACCTTCCTCAAATAAGTTAGCAAAATGTACTCTCTCCGGCTTATTAGTTTCTTTCCTTTGTGCTATGCTACTTCCATCCAGCTGATGATTACATCCTTGGTAAAAGAAGTCTCCCATGTAGCATGTAAAACCTTCACTGAAGGTAGAAAAAAAAAATAACCAGGTCATTTTGTTTTATGCTCATTAGTCAATAGTTGGATTTCTTTTTTCTTTCCGTTTCTTTCCTTTTTTTTTCTTCAGATCAGTCACTATTTACAAACTTTAAAGCCCCAGGGCAGACGGCGATCTCTAACTTCCCAGAGCCTGACACTAGGTTAATGAATGTATGACTAAGAAAATAAACTAAAAATTAACAGCATCCTACATCAGCAGGAAGCCCTTCGGTATTATGTGGTTTGTCTGCAAACAGCTCGTAAGGGTTAAGCTGCTGTTTTTCAGCCTGCTTGGGCAACCAGTGGATCTACTCCTAGGAGGGCTACGAAAGACTGCTAAGAAAATCAAACTTATTTTTCAGAAGCAGAAATTTACTACCCAGAGGTGTTGCTGCCCACTGGAAGAGACTACTGAAGTTACCACAGTATTTCTGAAGTTGCAGACTACCTTGTACTCGGTTCTGCCTGGTACAATTCAGAAAAAGGGTATTTCTACAGAAGGCAGTCATGCTGCTGGATGTGCAATGCTACACCAGCTGAAGCCTCAGCCCTGAGGGAGCGAAATCCCTGTTGCGGCAGTCCCCGAGAGCACTGGAGGGCTCGGCAGCGTGACTGGGATGTTCCCCTGCGCTATCCCTACTCTGCGTGGGAGCTGCAGGTGCTTCAGCCCCGGTCCTAGCCCCAGCCGTGGCCCCTCAGCCCCGGTCCTAGCCCCAGCTGTGCCCCCCCCAGCCCGAGGGGGGGACAGAGGAGGGACTCACCCAAGATCTTGACAGTCTGGTGGCGCCCCTTCTTCCACAGGACTGCGTTGGTGCTCCGCAGGCGGGTGTTGCTCCGCCACAGCTCCCGGACGATGAAGCCATAGAGGATGTTGAGGCAGATGAGGTGCAGGACAAAGTAGGAGGTGGTGACCCAGAACATGGTGGCCAGCAGGCCGGACTCCATGGCCTGCGGGGTGGGCTTGCACTCGCGGCTGAAGTCGGTGTGGTTGTTGGGCTGCTCCACGCTGACCAGGAAGAAGGAGGGGCCGGCAGAGAGGAAGGTGAAAGCCCAGAGGATGCCAATGACGGCCTTCACCCGGCGCTTGGTGACGACCACCTTGGCCTTGAGGGGGAAGCAGATGGCGAGGTAGCGCTCCACGGTGAGGGTGGTGATGTGGAAGATGGTGCAGTAGGTGCAGCCCTCGCTGAGGTAGTGGGAGAGGCGGCACAGCAGCTGCCCCAAGATCCGGGCCGGGAGCGCCAGAGGCAGTAGAGGTCAAAGGACAGCAGCCCCAGGAGGATAAGCAGGTCCGAGGCGGCCTTGCTGCCCAGGTAGAGGTTGGTGGTGGTCTTCATGACATGGCAGCCACAGATGACCAGCACCATCAGGACGTTGCCCACCACGCCGACCACAAATAGCCGCAGGCAGACAGCCGTGACAGGGAGCACAGGGACGCCCCTGCACCGGCAGCGCCAAGCACAGCTGCTCGTCGCAAGGCAGCCACAGCCAGGGCTCGCCCTCGCTGCTGTTCCTGCCACCACCCCACACGCCGCCAGGGGACATGGCCACCTCCACTGCCTCCGCGAGGCGGGACGTGCCCTGCCTGGG